AAAAAAAAAAAAAAAAATCTCATTTTGAGAAGATATATTTGTATCCAAACAACTCTTAATTTTACCGGAAAAGTTGATCCTACCATCCACATCAGTGTTTTATCGTTAGATTAATATGTATGGAAATATTCTTCTAAGGGTAAAAAAATATTATTAATATTCGGTCAGTCATCATTATGTATCACATAATTTTAACTAATCATCACTTCCAATAACTTCTCTGCTAATCTTACATCAAATTTAACTTTAGTCATTTTATAATTAATATTAATTTAATACAAATTCAAAATTTCACTTAAACCTAAATTAATCAACATTTTCAAAATTAACTATAATTAAAAAAAAAATCAATAAAAGAAATTTATGAACAAGCATGCTTTAAATCAATATAAACAAGTTATAGCACATTTTACTAGCTTTGGACTTTATTTTGTTTAAAAAAAATAAAAATAAAAAAAAAGTAGATTAAGTTTTGGAAATCATTTGCCTTATTCGAATGTAGCATATAGTTAGAGTACTCGGTTACCATTAATTGATCGTAATATAATTCCCCAAAGTAAGAAACTCTTATATTTTAAAGTAGGGAGATGTTACGGTTTTGTTATGGAATTATTTCGTTGGAGTTTGTAATCGTTAGATCAACTATCCCCGACAATCACAAACTCCGACAGAATATTTTCATAACAAAACAGCAACGTAGCATTTCCCGTTGAAATAAAAACAAGGAAAGCTTTGTAAAAAGAATATTCTCGTGCACGTTCATAAACATCTAACTGTACACGTGGGGAGTGGCGACCTTGAGATCCACATGCAAATCGTTTGACTTTATATATATCAAATCTACCACGTTGTATATAATTAGTTGAAAACTTATGAATTTGCCATGGTGAATAGGTGAATAATTCCGTCAGATTGATATGCGTCAACTGTACTATTGTAAATATACAAAAATTACTTACATAATGAAGGCATAATTGATAATTGTGTAAGCATAGTATATTTTATATATTATAGCCCCTCAAAGTATAGAAAAATGATACGGTTCCATTACAGAACCATTCCGTCGAGTTTATAATCGGTAAATTATCATGTAACCGTCGGAAATAGTTGATCTAATGGTTAAATTCCGACGGAATAGTACCATAACGGGACCGTAGCTTCCCCAAAATATATCTACCTCTTTCCATTTGATTTATTCCCTTAATTTTATTTTCATAATTATTTAAAGAGACAAAAATGCTCCAAATTTATTTGATATTTTTCCAACTCGAAGCTATAATCGTCCACAATAATTGTATGGGGAAATGCTTCGGTGCTGTTACGGAACCATTCCGTAGAGAATTGTAACTGTTAGATCATCATGTAACCGTCGAGGATAAGTCATCTAACGGTTACAATTTCCGACAGAATAGTTCCATAACGGGACCGTAACATCTCCCAATTGTATGTTTAGATCTCTAATCTCTGTCTGAACACCAATATTCTCTGCCCGTATCCAATTATTCTTTTATTTCGTCCTTCTTTTTTTTTTTTTTT